TGTTTATGTCACTGAGAACCAGGATCTTCAATGTGGGAGAAAGGAGATAGAGATGTAAGGTGAGTAAGGTCAAGTAAATACCCGATTCCTGAACTTGAACTACAGCTAACAGTATAAACTCATATGTATTTTATATCAGGATAAATTATGAAGCATTTTATATCTCAACTGGAAAATGTTTCTCTTCATGGAAGTATGCCAGTTGATAAGAAAGACAGACTGATACAAACTGTCACCACTTTCCAACCCCAGAAAAATTAATTAGCGTAGGCATAGACCATCAATAATCACAAACCAGATACTACGCACACTACCACCTACGAGTAGTCTTGACAAAAAATCCAATCTAAACCTGATTTACAAGTTGTGGCAAGTGGCGGTCCCTGCCTTCAGGGAGATTGCATTCTGGGAGATAAGATTGCTTCTGTAGCAGGCTGACACTCTGCTGTCTGCCCTGTTCAGCCCTTCTGGGTGATACAGAAGTAAACTTGCCACATCTTTTTCTCAACTTTCAACCTCTTCACATACCCCTTCATTTCTTCTGACTCCCCTCATAGCCTTTCCTAAAATGCTCCTCTCCCCGCCCTATTTAATGAATAATTTATAAGAATTTATTTTTCATTTTCTATTAAAATTCCTTTGTAAATGATGTTCTGATCTCATCTCTGAGCACTCTCTCCCTTCTTCACAGTGCTCCAAACACACTGGTGTGTGTGTTCCTCAGACTTAACTCACACTCCCACCTAAGGGTCTTTACGCTCTTCCCCATATCTGGAACGCTTAATCCCCAGATTGATCACTGCAGGTCTCAATCCTTTTTTATATTTAAGCCTGGGCTTAATATAAAAAGTGTCACCTCTTGAAAGTCTTCCCTGACCATGTCACAGTCCATCACAACTTCACTTTTTTTTCATAACCCCCATCGTTTTGCATATTTGATTGTTTGTCCCTTCTAAAATATAAAAGCTACATCAGAGAAGGGGCTTGCATCCTACCTTGCTCTCCAGCACCTAGACCTGGGCATGGCACACAGTAGGTGCTTGATAAATATTTGAATAAATTCTGGATTTATTCTGAATTCTGAATCTTCCAGCCAGTAGCTTCTCTTGGCTGACAGATGTTTAGTAAGTTCCTGAAACACTAGCAATCAGCTTTATTAAATTCTATACAAAAAGATAAAAGAGTAGTCCACATTTAAACTTCACTCTTTGATAATCATATGGAGCCAAAGTAACAGCATACAGATTGGTTTCTAATCACAAAGGTAGAAACATACAACTGTACAATGGTAGGACCAGGCTGTCATCACTAATCCAGTGGCCAATCTTGGCATACCCTAATGGTTAGACACCCATATATTCTTTTTATGTGATACAATACAATGTATTTTAGCCACAAATATTTCACTTGAAATATTTCACTTGAAAGGAGTAACCTGCGCCCCTTCCTTTATACTATGTAGTACAAAGGAACAAGGTAAGATGAAATACAAAGGTCCTGAAGATAGAACTTTCTGTAGGACTAGAGTGAAATCTTCAATAATTTGGTAATGTGAAAAAAAGGGTACTGTTTTGAAGAGTTAATGGACATAACCAGATGAAATGCATAGACCTGGAATAGATCCTGCTTTGTCCTGTAAAGGGCATTTTTAGAACAGATGGAAAAATACGTATTGGTTATTGGATAAGGAAAATGTATTGTCACAGAGAGGTGGAGACTGGACAAGGTTAAGAGTATGTACCATTAAGATCTCATCTTAGTAAAACAACATCTATCAGCATGGAAAAATATCTTATACACGAAAATGTTTAATAGTAGTAACCTGAGTGTTGGAGTATGGTATTATCAGTAATTTTCTGAACTTCTATCATATACACATTCTGTTTTTGTAATAACAAGATTATTTTGAATCTTTTAGATTAATAAACTAATTTTAATTTTGGAATGCCGATACAGCTATACTTTCTATGTTCAAATGAAAAGTTTGTTTCCTTTAAATTAGGTGACTTGGGCAGATTTCTACTGGGAGATTTGCAGTACCACGCTTTTGGTCTTTAAACCTGACCTGTTGGACATCCATCCAAGGCTGGTGACTTTACGGAAGAAAGTCCAAGCCATTCCTGCCATCGCTAACTGGATAAAACGAAGACCCCAAACCAAACTCTAGTTGATCCATGTTGCCTTCAAGTTTGTTGTTCTCGGGGCATCTCTCTTACCAGATAAGACAGGTACATCAGCCTGCCAGATAATCCATATGCTCCCTTCCCAACTCCACCAAGATTTCCACTTTAAGCCATATTCTGATTTTTAAAAAGGAAAACACAAACACAAGCAAATCTTTCTGCAGTACCTTTTTCTTTCAGAATAGCTTCGCATCATTTACAATGGCGGAAAAATAGTATGTAATACAGGCAGACCTTGCTTTGCACAGGTTCTAACATGCACGAATTGCAGTCATAATGGTTTAGCAACACCATTCTTCCCCTTCCCCAAAATGGTTTGGACTTCAGCTACCACAATTACCTGTAATTGCATAAAACACAAACTTTGCTCATGGCTCTCCAGTCCACATATCCCTGTGTAAATAACCTATGTACATCATGACCAGTGACCAGTCACTTCTTTCAAAGACTGCCAGAGGTCACTGCACATCTCTTATTCCTGCATAGACAGCAAAGTGTGTAGTTGTATTGCTATTGCCTGCTTGTGGCCCAGTGATAAATCCCTTTGACATTTTACAAAAATGAAGAATCAAAAGAGGGAACTCCCAACAAAGATGCAAGTGCAGCAAAGGAACAAAAACTGATAATCCTGGAATGAAATTCAACTGAACATAAAGGGAGCTATAGAGAAAAGAGCTGACTGTGGGAATCTGACACGGCTCAAGAGGCTCTAGATATGCAGCCAGAGAAACTTGTAAAGATGAATTTACTGACATGAATAAAGTTGTTGTGGTAAGAAAAATGTAGATATCCCAGAGATCGAGAATGAGAAGCCAGACAAGCCACAGACTTGAAGAAAATACTTGTAAAACACGTATTTGATAAAAAACTGTTATCCAAAATTCTACAAAGAACTCATAAAACTCAACAATAGGACAGCAAACTGATCAAAAATGGGCAAAAGACCTCAATAGACACCTCAACAAAGATACAGGTAGCAATATGCATATGAAGAAGTGCCCAACAAAATGTCATTAGGGAGCTGCAAATTAAAACAAGATACCACTATATGACTGTCAAAATGGCAAAAGTCCAAAACAGCAGATAACACCAAACGCTGATGAGGATGGGAGCAAGGGTAACTCTCATCTGTTGCTGATGAGAATACAAATGGTACGGCTACCTTGGAAGACAGTGACAGTTTCTTACAAAACTAAACATATGCTTACCAGACAATCCAGCAATTGTGCTCCTTGATATTTATCTCAAGGACCTGAAAACATGTCCACATAAAAACCTGTCCACATATATTTACAGAAGCTTTATTCACAATTAAGAAGTCAAAAAAGAGATGAGGATGTGGGGGAGAAAGAAAGAAGAGGAAAATAAAAGCCCAGATAGGTATGATCTTATTTAAGGTGTTTCCTTCCTCTCAATGTTTTATGAAATTGAAAAAAAAGTTATTTAATACTTTAGGCCAGGCGCAGTGGCTCATGCCTGTAATCCCAGTACTCTGGGAGGCTGAGACGGGCAGATCACTTGAGGTCAGGAGTTCGAGACCAACTTGGTCAACATGGTGAAACCCTGTCTCTACTAAAAATACAAAAATAAGCTAGGCGTGGTGGTGGGCGCCTGTAATCCCAGCTACTCAGGAGGCTGAGACAGGAGAATCACTTGAACTGGGAGGCAGATGTTGCAGTGAGCTGAGATCGCGCCACTGCACTCCAGCCTGTGTGACAGAGGGACTCTGTCTCAAAACAACAACAAAAATATAAATTATTAAGGATTACACATAAAAACAAAGTGTATTTTCTAAGTTCCTTGATTCTTTGGATCAAATTTTGTTGTTATTAGTGGCTGTAAGTAAATGATAATAGGTTGTATGTGAATCTTATTCAAAGCCCTCCAACATGTAATCCAGGCAATCTAAAGAAAAAATGTTACTTTTAAAAAAAGAAATGCAAATAATGTTCTAGATAATGAAAGTAGTTAACTTTTCTCCACTCTTCTGCATAGCTAAATTTCCCCATCAAGTTTTAATGAAGACAGAACTAAGTGATAATCCAATGCTTATACAAAATTATGAAAATTCAAAATAAGAGAATCAGTCCTACATATTGATACAAATCATAATTCAAAGTATAACCACAGCAAGTTTCATAAGGAAGTATTTGGCATTATCATAACCTTTAGGTAATCTTTTTGCACTGAAGGACAACACATTCCATTATCCCATTGTGTATCCAAGTGAAATGTCTCCTTGCTTCTATACAAAGAGAGGCTGGCTAAGCAAGAGTGAAGTCAAGCAGAAAGTGAACTGCATATTGAATTTACTATTTCAAAAATACATTTTTGAGGAGTTGAAGTCAATTCCTTAAATGTATGGACTGTGAAGTATCACACATAAGGTCACACAAATGGAAACCAAATCTCCTCATACCCCCGTCTCTCCACTACATGATAATACCAACTGTTAGGAACAACAGTAATGTTTCAAAATAAGTATCTACTGGCATAAAGTTAAAAGTCTATGGGGGTCCCAAAGTTATAAAAATGCATAAGGCATGTCTCATGTAGCCTGCATTAAAAAAAATGCTTCAGTTGGTCACAATATTACTCCAACTCTCGCTTCATTTGCTCTGTAGTGATAATTGGTTACAGTATTTACTGACATCAGTCCAATGAAGGAACCAATGAGAATACATCCTAAGTAGTAAGTTCCAATTTACTGACAAACAGGCAATATTAAGCATATAAGATAATCTCACTTGTGCCCAAGATTATATATTTTTAAAAGAGGAGGATTAGAAACTATTAAAAAGGGTGTGAAAATACAACTTATGATCACAAATATTTTTATTAAGCCCAAGACATAATAGCGCATTACAGGAAGAACCCAACTACATTTCATTAGAGATAAAAGTATGGATATAACAACAACAACAACAACAAAAAAAGAAACAGCCTATCATTGAAAATACATTAATACAGAAAACTTATGAGAAATCCATTATGAGATTTTAAAAGGTAAAATTCCTAACAATTTGAATAACTGATTTGGGTATGGTGATGTACAAGGAGGTAGTATTAACACATGAAGACTCCTTTTAGCCCTGTAATGGTAAAATATATTCAGTCTGTTCAATATCCCATCAAGACTGGGGTTATGCCATGAGTTCTCAGAGTCTTTAATATCTAAATAATCACTGTTTAAGAGTTTTATTTGCCTTCCAAATCCAGAGGGTCATATTACCTTAGCATCTTAGCAAGTTAGGATGCTTTGAAAGGTATGATTTCCAAAAATTAACAAATCTTTGATTTATAAATAAGTTTATTTATAATGATATTTACACAATAAAAACAAAACACATGGAACTCACAAGTTATACAAAGAAACTGAAGTATAATAAAAACAGCAATATAGACTGACAGGCAGAAATTTAAAGAAAGATTTAATAAAGAGTTAAATATCAAATAGACAACTTCACTTCTAAATTTCACTTTGTCACTCACACTGAATTGGAATTGAACAATGGCTCTCTCTTCAGGCGGTCCTGTACTGGAAATTCTGGAAACTGGTAAAATATATTTTGATAAGCGTTTCAAGTTAATGACCTATTTCCATGCAGTACCTAATGCTGCCTTTAGATGAAGTCACATTCAGTCTGCTTTGAAGTGAAATAGCTTTAAGTAATCTGTTCTGCCAGGCTAGAAAAATGTCACCAACATTTTGCTGATGCATGGAGATGTGGCAGTAATAAACTACTATTTAGAGAGGAAGAGAATTGGAGCAGAAGTGACTGGGCAACAGTTTCAAGAGAAGCAAAAGCCGGGAGAGGGAAATCAATGAAAACATGCACAAGTTTAGGCAGAGTAATATGCACTATTAGTGCAGTTGGAAAATGAACAGAAGGAATTAATCCATGGAGCAAGGTAAGGGCTTCTTTAGTTACTATTCACTGGAAAACAACTTAGTGCCTAGCCAAACAAATTTGTTTCAGCAGAAGTACTTGAGAGGACCTGGGGGATGTTAGTATATGGAATGCCACCTTTAAATTCAGGTTGAGTTCTTGCTGACATTGGTGAACATCTGCTTCAAATAGCAATAAAATGAAAGCTATATAATCTATACAGCTGCATTCTTTAACATAATAAAAAAGAACTTCAAATGAGACAAGCAAAAACAAGACATAAGCATTGTCAAATAAGGCACATGTAAAAATCTACACACATTATCCAGTGAAAGACAATATATATATATTTGGAGGTAGAAATAATTACAAAAATACTGACATTTCTAAAGCATTAGCATATTTGTTACAAACAATCACCAACTAATCCCCATTCAGAAAACTGCTTTGTAAAATGATTATTCAACATCTTCAGGACTACATATTTGTGGCTTCTTTTTTGAAATTTCATGTGTGAGTATTTGGAGAATTCAGTTAGTGGCAAAAAGTTGTCCATACTATGAGAAATGTAATATGGAAATTATAAAAAGTTATAAATGTTCATAAACCCCATGGTCATCATAATGTAAATGTCCTTGAGTGCACCAAGTTGATATTTCCTCATCAATTGAGAGTTCACAGTTCTTATTTCACAGGCCCATTGATGTTTTTAGTAATGTGGCTATATCTGCTGGCATACTCCCTTCATCACCTGTAGGTCAGAAAGTAGCATTAAAAGCTTTATGAAAGTATTTTATTTTATAAAACATTGTCTCAATTTTTTTTTCTTTGGTGAATTCTTACTCATCTTTCAAGGGCTAGTTTGCTTCAGTGTCACCCCTGTTAGAAACCTTCCCTAATCACTACTTAGATTAGGGCTATTTCCTCTGTGTTCTTGTTCATATTGCCAACATAGCAATCTAAGGTTATGTTTCCAATTTTATAAAGCTATATAAAGATACACAGTAATACACTGGATCATATATAATTCTTGGTACTTAACTTCTCACATTTGCTAAATAAAAAACATTTATGTAAGAAACGGAGTAGGGAAAACAAAGACAACAAAGCCAAACCTAAACCAACCAAAACTTATTTAATCTATTTTCTTATTTTTCATCTGAAGATATAATCACTGACTCAGACCCACACTGTATACATATAAACAACATTCTGAGCACAGCATACCAGCTGATGATTAAATTAGCCACTTTAAATTACCTTGTTTATCCAATGTTTGCCCTATATATTAATTGAGGCCCCATATTTATAAGTACTTACAGGAATTATTTGAGATTTTCTAAATCCCTTTGTGTCACAGTGGCAGATAATCTAGCCATCCCTGATTAATTCAATTAGGCACTCAGAATATTTTGAGATGAGTTGATTTATTAATTTACCAGTTAGTGCAACAGAACAGCTGGCAATTCACAAATATTTGCTGATCTGTGATAGATCTGTAACTATGAATAATTTTATAAATTAGATGTGGCTGAAATGTAGCAAAACTAACCACTTCTCTCTTCCTCCCCTCTCTCACAAATATACACCTCAGTTAAAATCTAAAATCATGAGTACTTTTATCTACTCTTCTTTTCTCTGTTAAACACACACACACACATCCACAGGAACACAAAATAGTCCATCAACTCTTAGGGAGTTCACAGACATCCTTGCTTCCAAGCTCATCCATAGACTTGAAAATAGCCCATAAAATCCAAATTGACACTTCATAAATTACTAAATAAACTGATACCATGTTAGGAAGAATGCAGGGAGAAGAGGAAAGAAGAAAAGGAATAAGGAGATTCTTTTAAACTTAAAAGATACTAAAGATAGAATACAATAAAATGCTGTGTGTGAACTTTGGACCCTGGTGTTTTAAGGAAAGCTATAGAAGACATTAAGGGGACAAATGAGAGAAATCTAGATAAGAACAACATATGATAATATCTGAAAATTACTATTTATTTTATTAGATGCTATAATGGTATTGTACCAACTTAGAGGAATATGCTGCGATACTGAAAATAAATTGCCATGTTTGTAATTGACTTTATTATGGATCAATGGGAAAAAAGAAGCAGAAAAAACAAACACTGCAAATGTCACAGCTGTTAAATCACTGTATTTTTCATTCATACTATACTTTCAACAATTAAAAAAATTATGTGTGTGTGTGTGTATGTATGTGTGTGTATATATATATATATATATGGAGAGAGAGACAGACAGAGAGAGAGATATGGAGTCTTGCTATGTTGCCCAGGCTGGTTTTGAACTCCTGGGCTCAAACGATCTTCCCACCTGTCTCCCCAAGTGCTGGCATTATAAGCATGAACCACATACCCAGCTACTGCTTTCATTTTTGTATGACTATTTCTGTAATAAAAAAATTCAAAAAGTATGTAGTCATGATTGTGGTAATATATATTTTTTTAAAAGTTCAAAAAGGTAAAAAATGTATTAATACAATTAATCACATTAAGGGAAGTTAATGAAAAAAACCCAAACACAATCTTTATTTTAAAGCAGTGGCTCTCTGATTTTAGCTTTCTCAGAATCACCTGGACAGCTTGTTAAACCAAATATTATTAGGTCTCACCGCCAGAGTTTATGACCAAGTAGGTATACAATGGGGCCTGGGAATTTGCATTTCAAATTGCCAATTTCTTAGGAGATGCTGCTCCTGCTGTTGCTACTTTAATAACCACTAAGGTAAGTTCTAGAAACACAAAAAAATGATAAGCATATTTGAGAGGAATCATGGTCTTTACCTTTCATAGTTTCATGTAAGGGGGGGCAAACAGATTGTTAACAAAAAGCAATACATACTCAATTACAAATATACTTTTTGTTTACAGAGGAAAAGGACCTCATTGTGAGAGATGGAAAGAAGGGCATACATGTATTGTCATTAGTTCAGTGTCAAAATTACCTAAATGAAACCAGGGATGCAGCTGAAGACAAATGATTACAGCTAAATGAGTAAATAAGACACCATTACATCCTTAGTCTAGCAAATAAAATACACACTGGGAAAAAAACATATAAACAGCTTTAACAAGACAGAGAAAAACTTCTAGGAAAAGTGGTAAGGAGAGTGGTAAAGAGAGGGCAGGATTCTTCATAACTAAACATTTCAAAGGTACTGGCTTGAGAGCACAGCTAAAAATACACTGCTATTTTAACAGACAACGCAGGTGAACAGAACAGGCAAAATTTTAGACTGACCAAATTTATACAAATACAAATAATTTACATTAATTATGACTGAAAATGATTGAATATACACATCACCTCTGTTCCCATCATCTGTAATACCATTAAAATACAATGGGAGAAAAAGTGTAAGGGGATTAGACAAAGGAGAAAGAATAGGCGAAAAAGACAACAGCAGAGAGAGAGTTGTTCACAAATTTTGAAAGAAAACAATAGATGAAAGCATGGAAACTGATTTTCGCACAATAAAGTAAAAGCTTAAGTGTCTGCAGGTGGGAAATGCAAGGCTACTTCATACCAAGAATCCTTACCCTTCTACCCTCAAAGCTCAGGAAATGGGGGTAAATGGGAAACATGAAGCTATAATCAGCTTGAACAGGTAAGATGACTACAGCTTGCCCAAGAAAGCCAGCCATTTGCCCCAGATGTATAAAAATGAAGGTTTATTCTCTTTGGAGAATATGAGTCTGAGGAACACTGGACTTGTCATAGTAGAGAACAGAGAGGCTGCTGAAAACAGGCAGATTAACTATTAATATTTAAATATGAGAACAAACCTCCCTCCTTCAGTTCTCAGGGCCATTGGCTCATACCACCTCTCCCCACCTCTCTTCACTTCACAGGAGGCTGAAAAATTTACCTCTGAGGAAATGAACTAGCCCATAAGAAAAGACTTATAGTTAATTTTATCAACTATTATGGCTCTACTATATTTAGAAACTTATTATAGAATAAAATCCATATATCTGGATATTTGCTGGTATTGGTAAAAAAGAATTTAAATGCTTTACTAAATTCTAAAAGCTGCCATAGCGAAATAATAAGGAAAACATTGCCCAAAGAGAATCTGCCTTACGCACTCACTTTACTGTATTTACTGGACAACCTGAAACTGGCAAGTTGCCATATGCACAAAAAGCCTAGTAATTCGTGTTAATTGTTTAACTTATGATCACCCTACTTATCCTTAAAGATCTCAGTTGCTTCTTACTCAAACTTTCTCTACTGCCCGCCTCCCCAAGCTTCCATAGCACCCTGAAATGTTATGCAAGAAAAACAAGTAATTATTTGATCATATGCATTTCTCTCTCGCTGTAGACAGATTAAAGTGTATTGACTTTTATAGTACAGAGTGCCTAATATAACACAGACATAACAGTATCTGTCATGAACAGAAATTTGCTAAATTAAAATGAACCATTATCAATATCAGGAATATCCTTATTTATTAGAATGAAAAAACTTGCTTATTTCCAATTAACTTAACATTAAATAAGAAAAGGTGCAGAAGAGTGTATCGTAGTTGACATGCACCCTTACTCCCATAAAAGAAAGAATACGTGTTTATTTCTACACACATAAAATAACTGGTCACACACACACAAAAACGAAAGGCTAACACTTGCCACCTCTATGGGGAAGTTGGGAGATGGGGTGACTAGGAGGTGTCTGTTCTTTCATTTCTGAGTTCTGAACATATTTTTTTCAAAAACATATACAAAAATAAAAATTTTGAACTTAAGAAACTTTAAAAAAATTATTTTAGTATTTTTGAAGTAAATATGCTTACCTTCTCCCACATCACACATCACCCCTAAACTGTAAGCTAGTTAAGGACTTTAGTCATCTTTGTCACCTTCTTGCACTAATTAGATGCATGGTCATATAAATACTGAAGTTTCTGCTTACAAAAAACTTACCTTCATCTACTGTAGTCATATCCTGTTCTAGTTTCAATTTCTGTTGGTTAATTTTTAGCATGGATTCTTCAATCGTCCCTTGGCTTATTAGTTTTATAACTAGTACTTCTCTAAAAAAACATACAAAATATGTCCATTGGTTACTAAATATAGTTATTTGGATATATGTAAACTATATTTAAGAGTTCAAAAAGAATACCTTGAAAATTATGACAAACATATCCTTAAATTCTTTTATTTAAGCCATTTGAGACTGACATTTTCTGAATATTTAACTTTTAGACACTCCTAAAGATGCAAGAAAAGAGAAAGATATTTGTATTTAAAGTAAATTACTGGCTGGGCACAGTGGCTCACATCTCTAATCCCAGCACTTTGGGAGGCTGAGGTGGGTGGACTGTTTGAGGCCAGCAGTTCGAGATCAGCTTGGCCAACACGGTAAAACCTGATCTCCACTTAAAAAAAAAAAAAGAAAGAGAAATACGAAAATTAGCTGGGTGTGGTGGCACACACCTGTAATCCTAGCTGGTTGGGAGGCTAAGGCATGGGAATTGCTTGAACCCAGGAGGTGGAGGTTGCAGTGAGCAGAGATGGTGCCACTGCATTCCAGCCTGGGTGACAGAGTGAGGCTCTATCTCAAAAACAAAACAAAACATATGTGTGTGTACAAACACACACACACACACACACACACACAGATAAAACTACATTACAACAAACACTTCTGTGTTCAGATGGAAATTACTTTTTTTTGAGATGGAGTCTCGCTCGGTTGCCCAGGCTGGAATGCAGTGGTGCGATCTTGGCTCACTGCAAACTCTGTCTCCTGGGTTCAAGTGATTCTCCTGTCTCAGCCTCCTCAGTAACTGGGATTATAGTCGCATGCCACCAAGCCTGGTTAATTTTTGTATTTTTAGTAGAGACGGGGTTTCACCATGTTGGTCAGGCTGGTCTCAAACTCCTGACCTCGTGATCTCCCCGCCTCAGCCTCCCAAAGTGCTGGAATTACAGGCGCCAGCCAGTGTGCCTGGCCCGAGAAGCAGTGTCTCTGTACACTTAAGGCAGTGCAGTCAGATACAAAGTTTCACAATAAGTACTGGTAAGTATTTAGTCTATAAATGAACATACCAATATCTTTTGGACATATATTAAAATACTTCACAAAGAGGACACTGTCTGATCTTTATTTATGTAAGCAGAGTTGTAACTATCTTCACCTTTTTTTTTTTTTTTTTTTTTGAGTTGGAGTCTCGCACTGTCGCTCAGGCTAGAGTGCAGTGGCGCGATCTTGGCTCAATGCAAGCTCCACCTCCTGGGTTCACGTCATTCCTGCCTCAGCCTCCCGAGTAGCTGGGACTACAGGTGCCTACCACCACGCCTGTCTAATCTTTTTTTTTGTATTTTTAGTAGAGACAGGGTTTCACCGTGTTAGCCAGGATGGCCTCGATCTCCTGACCTCATGATCTACCCACCTCGGCCTCCCAAAGTGTGTGAGCCACTGCACCCGACTATCTTCACCTCTTTACAGTGCTGTGACCAATGTCAAAATTACCATTCATCTAAAATAATTTACAACTCAGTTTACTTCCTAAAGGGTAACAGGACAGCCCAGCAATAATTTGTGTATTATGAAGTTTGTCTGGGTCTTAAACTGGTCTAATAAGCAAGTCTTTTCAATTACTCATCTTTTTCAAAGGCGTAGACAATTGTTAATACTTCATGAACTGCAGAACTATTTGGAATCCGGGTGGATGGTTTTAATTACTAGAAAATGGAAGGGTTACTCAGTGCAGTCGATGTTCAACACTGCTGGCATAAAATACATATGTAGCCATGCTTTGCTGAAAAAATAAAAACTAAGGCAGGATATCCAACACTATATTCTATTGGTCTACACAAATTAAAGTGGCACTGAATTAAAAATACATTTCAACTAAAAACACTTACTTAGTCTGGCCTACTCTATGGCATCTATCTTCTGCTTGTTTGTCATTATAAGGATTACAGTCAATGTCGTGAAGTATAACAACATTTGCTGAAGTCAGATTTATTCCTAATCCACCAGCTTTTGTTGATAGCAGAAACACAAAGATATCCATATCGGTATTAAACTCATCAATTAGATGAATCCTGTAAGATAAACAAATTAGGTTAAATCTCACTAAAAAGTTGTATCATGTAATTAAAATGGAAAACAATCATTATCACATGAAAAGGAAACCCGAAGATGTATATACATCCCTTGGTATTGCAGTTACTTCTCCTCTGGCTATATCATGGAAGAGCCTCCTCAATTCACCAACTTCTTTTCTACGATATTGCTACCCCTACCAACTCTTACTTCAATTCAACTATTCAGATTCAATTAATTCCTAAATGACGATTTTGTTCTTTTTTAACTTGTGGCTTAGCTAAATTTTGTGTATGGCTTTTCAATCTTTAGCCTTCTCAGAAGTATATCAGCTCCTACTGGCAGACAGCATTCCTGATGAATCAAGGACCTCACGATCAGTGTATCATTATATCAGTGGATTCTCCTCTTTTAAAAAAAAAACAAAACACAACATTATTTTTACCTTTACTCTAATGCTGGGGGGAAAAAAACCACTCTGGACAACAGAAAAAAAATAAACCAAAATATATAATTCAATTTAAACATACTACACAATTCCTTCCTTATTAAGACAATCCCTTCTTTACTAAGGTCAATCTTTACAACCTTTGGGAATGAAAAAAACTTTACCCATAGAATATGAAAGACTTTAAAACAATCTTGATGAAAGATAAGGTGTTTTAGACTTTGAAAAAATTTTAAAGGTGAAAATCATAAAAAATACAATTCTAACAGCTGTTTCAAAAGGTATTTGTATGCAATTCAGACAGAAAAATTAAAAGAAAATTATTTATTTATTTTTTGAGACAGGGTCCCACTCTGTCACCCAGGCTGCAGTGCAGTGGTGTGATCTTGGCTCACTGTAACCTCTGCCCACCAGGGCTCAAACAATCCTCCCATCCCAGCCTCCCCAGTTGGGACCATAGGCGTGCACCACCACACCTAGCTATTTTTGTTGCTGTTGTTGTTATTGGTATTTTTAGTAGAGACAGGGTTTTGTCATGTTGTTCAGGGTAGTCTTGAACTCCTGAGCCCAAGCAATCCACCGTCATCGGCCTCCCAAAGTGTTGGGATTACAGGTGTGAGCCACCAGGCCTGATCATTGAAATTACTCTTATTTTAAGGCAATGATTTGAAGTAATCAAACATAAAAACAACAAAATTCTATCAAGTACTCTAGACATTTAAAATTCTAACAACAACAACAAATGAGTGGTTTTTTTTTTGGAACATGAAGTATACCAACCTTTCAGAAATCTGAGTCTTTCCATCTAATCTGAGGTACCTATGCTGATGATGTTTTAACAGAACCTCTAAGATATCCAGCATCATGGTAAATTGGCTAAACAATACAACTCTATCACCCTGTGAAAATAGATATACGAGTTAGAAATAGAAAAAATTGTTTTACTTAAGCCTTGACAGGTCTAAACAGTTAGAAGTGTTACTTATATCATGTTGATAAATTTGCAGAAAATTCTCTATGATCAACTGCTTCTTTAATAGAAATCAATAATACCGAAGATATACATTTTATTGTAGCCTACATATGAATATACTGCCTTAGCCTCTAAACTTCAAGGCTAAAAGTTAGCTCTCAGTTTTGATTTTAAGAACAGTTAAATTACTTCCTTTTCGTAAGAAAAATGTCAGAAAATATGAACAATTGCATATGTGTGTCCTATCTGGACTGTGATTTTACAAATTTAGGCTATTTCACACATAAACGGCAGTATTACTTAAATAACTATTTAATGAATGGTGTTTTTAAAAACTAATTTCTTAGCACACATACAGATTGTCACCTATGAAATAATGACAATTAAGATTTTTTCAAAACATCAATACAGATACAGTCTACTAACTTTCTATTGTTTTTGAGGTTCAACAGAGGAAAGGAGGTAATCAAGAAAATATGTCAAGAAAATGTTCAAAACACTAAGTTCTGGAAGAATGCAGAACAGACATAAGCTAATTAAAGCAAGTCAGTGTGCCAGAATTGCTTTAAGAAGTTTAAGTAATTGAGAAAATACAAGAAACACCATTCTTCTTTAATACCTTCTGTTTCAATTCAGACAAGATGCATCCTAAAACTCGAAATTTTCCAGAATCTAAAATCAAGTCCATGTCTAATTGAAAGTTATTAATGTGTCGATACTGTTTACAAAGTACATGTAGTTCAAAGTCTGTCATAACTTCCATATCTTCAAAGATCAGGTCAGGGTTAGCCTCACAATGTGTAGGTTCCTTAAAACAAAACAGAACACAGTATACTTCAAAATAAAAATAATTTATAGTATGATCAGAAAAATTTAATAAAATTAACACCTGATAAAATACCTAAATCATAGAACCTTTTAGTGTAAGGAAAATTAATGTTAATCTTTTAGGTATAATAAAGGGGGGGAAGTCCTTACTGTTTTAGAGATAACATACTAAAATATTTACAGATTAAATAACGCCTAGAATTTGGTTCAAAATAATCCTGGGGAGAAGTCTGGGGTATAGATGAAAGAAGAGTGGTGTCATTATCAAATGGTAACTTTCAAAGGGGTGAAGTAACATATGAGCAGACAGTTTCATTATGAAATTCTACTTTTATAAATGTTTGAAATTCTCCGTAAGTTTAAAATAATATAAAAAAATTTAAAAAAGAAAATGGGTTGGCCAGGTGCAGTAGCTCACGCCTATAATCCCAGCACTTTGGGAGGCCAAGGTGGGTAAATCACCTAAGGTCAGGAGTTTGAGACCAGCCTGGCCAACATGGTAAAACGCTGTCTCTACTAAAACTACAAAAAATTAGCTGGGCGTAGTGGCGGGCACCTGTAATCCCAGCCACTCAGGAGGCTGAGGCAGGACAATCACTTGAACCTGGGAGGTGGAGGTTGCAGTGAGCAGAGATTGTGCCATCGTACTCCAGCCTGGGCGACAAAAGCAAAAGTCTATCTCAAAAAAAAAAAGAAAAGAAAGAAAATAAGTTGCTTTCAACACAAAGATCAGTAAGGATAAATAAGGATAAAATGTTAAAGAAAGAGGCAAAAATAAACAGTAATTGCTAAAACTATAAAGAAGAAATAAAATGAAAAAGAAGTGCATTATGGAAGTCTAGACTAGGAGTTAGCAAACTGTTTCTGTGAAGGGCCAGATCATATTTTAGGCTTCGTAGGAAAAATGACCTGTACGGCAAGTACTCAACTCTGCCCCTGTAGTGAGAAAGCAGTCCCAGAAAACAAAAACAGGCATGACTGTGTTATAGTAAAACCTTATTTATAAAAATAGTCACTGCCATAAGGCCATAGTCTGCTGACCTATGATGTAGGTTATCAGTCCTTCTTTGTTCTTATGTCCCCCAAATCATCTGGAACTTAATCCTAGACCTGGTCTCAAAACAAAAAGTTTTTCCTAAATATGTAGTTAAAGGTTTAGTATGCCCATTGGGTTCACCAATCTTATAGCCTACCAACTTAACCTCTTATTATAGCTTAGTGTTAACATAATATGAAATCCTTACCTTTAGCATAAGCTGAGACATTTCCTTGAGTTTTTCAGCTGTGTAATATTGGCGATGTAATAAAGGATGATTGGCCATTTTCCTCAACTGCATCATGACATTGCACATTTCTGTGTTTTTCTCTGTGACCCAAAAAGAACACAGTAAAAAATAAAACCAAGTGGATAACTGTTTGTTGAAATATATCAACTAAGTTTTTAAATTACTTCCTCAAATTCCAGATAATTTTAAAAAATGCACAAATACCATGATATAACTAATCAAAATGCAGCCCCAGTATAAGATTCTTTTTCACATAAAATAGTGAAAATCAGATTATACCCAAGTTATTGATAGATTTTTTCAATCTGTTGAAAAGACCCAAATAGAGTTGCTCCTGCTTCTCCGACATTGCACACAACTCAATCCGATCTTTCTTCGGGGGTAACTGCTTGAGAACCTGAGAAAGAAAAAACAGTTTAAGATAATTGTTCTAGTGAAGAGGAAAACGTAAGTTTTAAAAACAATAAAAATAAAAAACATGTAGATAAGCATTACCTCTTCTTTTACTCTTCTGAGAATAAATGGCTTTATAATTTGTTTTGCATGTGCTATTCTCTCCTTTTCATATATACTCTGCTCATCTGCTGATTTCTGAGCAAAATAAAAACATATCCTTTTAGGAATTATTCATTTAAATTATTGCAATAACAGTATTATTACACAACATAAAAATCTCCCTCACTAGAGTCTGAGTTATTTTCTGTAGAAACATGATTCATTCTGGATGGAACTTTACATCTGAATTCTGGGCTGCCATGTACTTCTTGAAGCTCCATATGTATTTTGAAGTTTCATGATACATAATCATGTACTCTACTGAAGTAATCAATTTGAACTGCACTACATTGGTGTTCAGAAGTCACCAACTGATGAGTTATGAATGGATTACCTAGATAACTCTCATTTAAAAATGTGTCTAACTGTGGGTAAGGAGGAGCGTGGGGGGTAGAAAAGTCTTTATTTCTTTGTGGAAAATGGCCCCAAAAGGAATCTAGCGCAGGCTGATGCAAATCACGTGGTCTAAAAATGGGGAATAGCACCTACTCAAAACTGGTGATTTTGGAGAATTAAGAGGCAGAATTTTGTTCTAGGATGTGAAGGAGCCCTCCATATATTATGAACTAAAAATAGAAAGTAGTTCATAAAATCTGCTAGGCCATTTAAAACACTGTACATTAAGTGGGAGGGAATTCAAATTAGTAAATGTTAAAAAGGCAGTTAATTTGCAGTGGATGAATATCACAGAAAATTCTTACAAAAGATTAGTGATGTGGAAGAGGGCCAAGAATCAGTGTAAACACTGTGATACTGAAAAATGTGGGAGTCCTTGAAGGCTATACCTTACTTTTCCTAAACAATAAAGAAGTAACAAAACTTTTCTTGTGAAGAGGATTTCTTTACTGTCGCTTTTAGTTGTGACTTCGGTTTTATGAACATTTATTTCAAAATATATTTCTCAGCATAGGCATTTTCTGGATATTCTAGCTTTGTCTAGTTTTATAGTTTACCCATAAAAGAATGTTACTAATTTACGTAGCCAATTTTGATACAGATGATGTAATGATCAAATTTTCCGCACATATTATATATTTGAGCTCGTCATCAATTTAAAATTGTCATCCTTCAGAAAATTAGGATATTAACCAAGACTTCTGGCTATCGATTAGGGAAATTGCTATTATTTTTCTCCATTAAATTTTGGCTGACTTGCAACCCGATCCAAATATAGAGTTATTAACTACTTAAAGTTATTTCATAGAGCATATGCACTATGAAAACAAAAGAGACCTAAAAGAAGAATGGCCCAGATAAAACACAAATAACATATTTTGGAGAAAATATGCATTTATGCTTACTGTCTTAGAGGAAAACATTCTTCGTATTTCACTGGTGCTACTACTAAACATGTGTGGCATAACAAAATTCAACAGCGACATGAGTTCTAACAGATTATTCTGTACAGGTGTGCCTGTGAGCAGCAAACGGTTATTTGCCTGTGAATGAAGGTAAAATTTACATTAGCTTTTTCTTAAAGAGCCACTCCTTTCATGTCTACCCTCCCCAGTGAAAGGTAAAGGGAGGAGAGATAAATTATAACCAATATTAATAACAACATTCTGTGATAAACGATTAGTAATTTAGATAATTGATGTCTGCTAATATCAATAGCAATGAATACGACAACCACTGGTCTTATAAGTAGGTAACTTGTGTCCTCGTATCACCTTTATGAGGTGATGAAAGATTATTTATAAAGTTCAACATATAGAACAGGTAAATTATGACCTAAGAATTTTTTTTCAGTTTTTAAAGGATTGTTAAAAAACAAAATCAAAGAATATGTGACAGAGGCCATCTAGTCTATAAAGTGTGAAATATTTATTATCTTCCCTTTTACAGAAAAAACTTGCTAACACAGAATACTACATAATTACGTAATACATATTCTGCTAATAAAGAATACTACATATATTATGTAATCTAAAATTTTATGGTAATTTGGAAAACTTTACAAACATTCTCTTACATTAATTGTCATAAGGTGCTGGTAGCGAATGGAGCCCATATTCTTCAGCATATGGCCCTCATCAAAAATTGCATAATTAAGTTTCAGTCGTCGAAACAGACTACGGTCATCAGAACTGCTGATCGCACAGTTATATCTGTCACCAAAAGAAAAAACATCTCTAAAGTTATACTTTTAAGAGCTTGGAGTCTAGTGAGATTTAATGTCTTATAAAAATCATTTTTTATTCACGCATTTCTAACAGCCAGTACTTAAAGCACAGCACTAGACACGGTGATACTCAAATAAATACTGATGTATTTGTATTTAATAATTATTGATGTACATTGTAACCAAGTTATGAAAGCTGCAATACATAACTGAAAAAAAATGTTAAAAGGCCGGGAGCAGTGGCTCAGGCCTGTAATCCCAGCACTTTGGGAGGCTGAGGTGGGTGGATCACGAGGTCAGGAGAATGAGACCATCCGGGCTAATATGATAAAACCCCATCTCTACTAAAAATATAAAAAATTAGCTAGGCATGGTGGTGGGTGCCTGTAGTCCCAGCTACTCGGGAGTCTGAGGCAGGAGAATGGCGTGAACCTGGGAGGCGGAAGTTGCAGTGAGCTGAGATCATGCCACTGCACTCTACCCTGGGTGACAGAGCAAGACTCAGTCTCAAAAAAAGAAAAAAAAAAAAAAAAAAAAGAAAATGTTAATGTTACAATCGGACAACTTCTACATACCTGGGAGGAGGTCAATTTGGGTATAATTTATAAGTAATCTGCTCCACGAAGTGTTATACTTTAATAAACACGAAAAAGAACATGAAGCTAAAACATGTTTCTCTTTAAAACCTAATAATATTTTATTAAACTAGCAGAGTAGATCCAATAAATAATAGTTAATAGCTAGCAGCTTGAGACTACATATGGAGCCTGTTTTATTAAGAAAAAACAAAATTCTGCATGAATTTTTTAAGGACAGACTCCTACACAAGAAGCCAGTAGTGAGAAATAATAACTACAGTTAAAATAGAACTATAAATAAATCAAATCATAAATGGGACACAAGAGCATTAAGTTCTGTGCAAGATATTTACATCAAACAATTATTACCAAGTAGTAGTCAACTTATCCAAGGTTTTATTTTTCATTTTTATTTCTGCCCTAACTCAAATTTTTCACTGAGAACATGAATTTCATTGTGTTTATTATTGATACTTATTTGTAAGTTAAAAATATAAATAATTTTGGTGGGATATCTCAAATTTTACGCTTACTGATCGTAATATTAAGCTTACTGAGAAACTACTACTACAAGACGACTTTTTTCAGTAAGTAGGCAAAACCTTTTTATAGTTACCATTAATGAGGTGATGTACTACAAAAGCTTCGTATACCAGTGTTACACCTCAACATAAGTCACTCTATTACTTTTGTATTACAGTTAACAGCATAAACTTTCCTACACAGTACTACTACAATTTCTTTTTTAAATTTGGGAGCTGCATAAATATCCACCCTCCCCAAATTTCTCAATACTTACGTGGTCACAATTACATTGTAATCTTCATATCTACTATGAATGTTAAATCTAATTTGTTTACGTTCTTCTTGAGAACCTAGAGTTTAAAAACAATGAACACATTTTGACTGTATTTATTGTGCTGTACTTTATTTTTAATTTCCAAAGTTAAAAGCAGAATGACATATTCTTACCATAGTAACAGAGCACCTTCAAAGTAGGGCACCATAAATTAACTTCCCTTAACCAGTTATCTATGGAACAGAAGAAATATTATTTGCATCTGCTACAACAGGATATGTTCACACGGTTAAATGAACACTAAACTTTGACAAGTGCTACTTAGAAATTAGTCTTTTATAAAATGCAAATACTGGCTGGGCAAGGTGGCTCATGCTTGTAATCCCAACACTTTGGGAAGCTGAGGTGGGTGGATCACCTGAGGTCAGGAGTTTGAGACTAGCCTGGCCAACATGGTGAAACCCCAACTCCACTAAAATACAAAATTAGCCAGGCATGGTGGTGGGCGCCTGTAATCCCAGCTACTTGGGAGGCTGAGGCACGAGAATCCGGGAGGCAGAGGTTGCAGTGAGCCAAGATTGTGCCACTACACTCCAGCCTGGGTGACAGAGCGAGACTGTCTTAAAAAAATAAATAAAAATTAAAAATTAAAATATAAATACCATGATGATTGCTTTTATCACAGACCCTTTACAATATTACTCCTTATGAAACTTATGTAAAATGATCTTGAAGTTTTGTGAGGTATCAAAATGAAGGGTAGAGGACCAAATATATTTACAGTTGATTATTAAACTCCAATTTAAAGAGAAGGGGTTTTGTTACATTCACATGTGCAAATATTCTCTAACTTCTGCATCCAACAAATTGAGAAAGAATGGAACAGTTATATGAGTAGGAATTACATACCTTCATCCAATAAATGTTTAATTTTACATTTACAAGTGCCCATTTTCTCTTAGTCATTTTAAAAAGTAACTAAAAGTATTATGAAACCAATATAAATGGCACTTGGTCTATAATTTAAAACTGACTTACATTTGAGTTATTTTCTTTTTAAAAGACTGCCAATATAATCAAACATATATATAAACAAAGCAGAAAAGTATAAGGAGACCATAAAATTAATATTCATCTCTACAAACTTTTGTTTCAGTCACGCAACTGAAACCACAGCACCCCTCCGACACACACCTTTACACACACTCTCTTCTACCTATATGAAACATGATAACGTTAAATACAGTTGTCTCCAGTTATTACAAACCTATAGTTGAAGCTGGAACAACGATCAAATGAGGACCATTATTACCCTCCTGATAGAGGTATGCCAGAAATGCAATGGCTTGAATAGTTTTTCCTAGGCCCTAAAAAGTTTAAAAGACAATATATAAAATTTTAAAACAAACAAAAAATAAATACATAAAAATACAAAAGAAAAAGCAATACTTCTATGCTGTATTGACTTGATTTCCCATAATGCAACTCTAAAGGAATTTCTACTACGTTCTTAGTTCTCAAATGACAGAATTGATCATAATCTCCAAATGAGGCTATAACTTACTTTACTGAGCAGGATGGACAGATCTTCATTGCTAGTTCATATACAATACACATTAATATGGAAGACTTTTTGCATTGCAAGGAAAGCATATAATTTTGGTTATTGCTTATACACACTGAATGTTTAATATCCACTGAATGGTTTGAGGGCAATGTCCCATGACTAAATGGAGGAAACATATGCCTAATCTATCCCCGCAATTCTACCCTTAAGAATATAATTATGAGATATGAGAGCTAATGTCGGCAAAAGGACTTGGGTAGAATGTTCATAGTTTTATCGTAATAGCCAAACACTGGAAATAACCAAAACAGGTTGGGTGCCGTGGTGCGTGCCTGTAATCCCAGAACTTGGGGAGGCTGAGGAGGGTGGATCACTTGAGCCCAGGAGTTCAAGACAAGCCTGGGCAACATGGCAAGACTCCATCTCTACAAAAATTACAAAATTAGCCAGGCATGGTGGTGAATGTCTGTGACCCCAGATACTCGGGAGTACTGAGGTGGATGGATTGCCTAAGCTCAAGAGGTCGAGGCTGCAGTGAGCTGAGAGCGCGCCACTGCACTCCAGCCTGGGCGACAGAGCAAGTCCCTGCCTAAAAAGAAAGAAGAAAGAAAGAAAGAACAAAAGAAAAGAAAAGAAAAAAGAAAAGAAATAACCTAAATACCCATATCCAACAGAAGAAGATCAACAAATTGCAGTGTATTTATACCATGGACTACCATCCCACATGGCAATTAAAAAAAAACAAAAACAAAAACAAACAAACTACCGATACACGTAAGAACATAGATGGACCTCAGTAACATTATGTTGCACCAAATGAACCAAAAACAAATAGTATACAGTATACTGCATATACTGTATAACCAGAAAAAATTCCATGGCAATAGGTATAAGAATAGTGGTAGCAGCAACAACTGGAAAAAAGCATGAGAAACTTTCTGGGATGATGGAAAAGTTGCTCTGGGTAGTTAGTCACATGGGTGTACATATATGTAAAAAGTAACTAAACTGTACATTTGTATATTTTACTGCAACTAAATTAGACATCATTAAAATACCGGTTTTAAAAAGCTACTTAGGAGATACAGCTCCTCAGGGGAACTGAATGCTACCCAACTGTTGTGGACTGAATTATGTCTACCTCCTTGCCACTGACAGACAATACATATGTTGAAGTCATAACCCCCAATGTCACTGTATTTAGAGATAGGGCTTTTCAGGGGGAAATTAAGGCTAAATGAGTTCATAAGTGTGGGGCCTGAACCCAATATGACTGTCCTTGTAAGAAGAAATACCAGGCATGTGTATATACACAGAAAGAACCACATAAGGACAGAGTAAGAAAGTGGCTGTCTTCAAGTCAAAGAGAGGACTCAGGAGAAATCCAAGCTACCAATAAATACATTGATCTTGGACTGTCCATCTCCAGGATTGTGAAGAACAAATTTCTGTTGTTTAAGCCACTCAGTCTGTGGTATTTTGTTATGGCAATGCTAGCTGACTAAGCCATCAACTTATAAATATTGTGTTGCGCTTTGCAGGTTACAAAAATAGTTTCACATAATATATACCTCATTTTATAGTAAATGCAATCTTATGATAAAAACTATCTATATTTTATTATTAGTTTTGAGATTAGGTCAATTGGCAAGGATCAGATAGCTCCTGAAAGGCAAAGTTGGGGACCCCAAACCCAGGTCTGATTTCCAAGTGCAGTCACACAGCTGAAATGCTATATATTCTGTAATTTCTGTAATTATTTTGAAATCCTGTGTATATTATTCACTTTTCTATTAGATAAACAGTTATCTTTGTTTCAATGACAGTATGAAATATGTATGGGAAAATATCTTACAATGCTACAGATTACTTTTCTAGAGGCTAAACAGGGAACAAATATCATTATCTGTGTTAATTTTTATTTTAGGAATCCAACACATAGTGTAACATTTTCTTTGCTGAACATCTTAAACATATACTTCAAAAAAGTATGGCTGAAGGAATAGAGATGTTAGATTAAAGGTCAAGTTTCCACATGACAACACCTGGACTACTGGCTATAACAAACTTAGTGAGCTTAGCTTTAAGGAAATGTGATTTGAGAAAGAACAGAGACCCGGAGAGACCACTAAGAAAAATAAAACAGCTGATATGATGTCGCTGATATATATGTGGATTTATTCATTGACAAGGACAGGGATCTAAGTTAAAAATTTTAAAGGCAGCTGTAGAAAAAGCACATATATTACACATATGTATGTGCATACACATGTACATACACAACATCTGCAGAAGGTAGTATCTAGAAAAGAAGACACCAAACTAGTTCTTGTTAAAGTGGTGGAATTATAGGTGACTTTGATTTTGATTTTTTAATTTGTATTTTTATGTTTGTAACATGTATTTACTAATTTGATCATCAGAAAGACAATAAATCTATCTTCATCTTGGGGAGGAGTTAGGAGGGTAGAACTATATCAAAAACAAAGATGAGATAAAACATAAGATACTGAGGTGGCAGGAGTTAACTACAGTAGCAAGAAAAAATTTCTTGTTTAAATGACAGCAAGAATACCTTTTAATGACATTTTGAACAACAAATCCTAGAAATAAAGTACACTTACCATTTCATCTGCCAAAATGCCATTAAGTCCATGTTTATGTACCAATGCCAGCCAATTCAAACCAACCTTCTGATAGGGCTTGAGTGACAAACTGGTAAAGAGAGAGTTACCAAATATTACACATTTATATTTCTATTAGTTTTCTATTAGTTATTACAACGCACATAAAAACTAAAATGCCTAGGTCTAATCTTACCTTTTAACTGTTAGACGCAATGTAAACCTACTTAAAAAAATGAACCCAAGACATAAATGATTTTTCAGATCTTCCCAAACTTTACTCTCTATTCTTATTTATTTCTTCTGGCAAGAAAAATCAAGCATTTCCATATTTGGTCATAATACAGTACCTCCAAATTAATTCCATAAATGATTAGAATATTAAGTATGATAATATATTACTAAGCTAGTATTTACACTAGAAAATTGAATTGTGTTGATTTGATTTTTAGCACATTAAAAAACTTAAAAGTATTAGACAAAAAAAAAATAAACATAATTTGCTACTTTGGCCAGGTAGGTTTAATAAACACTTTCTGAATGTGTGCCAATCACTCCTAATATCAGTGGTATGTATAATTCTGGAGCACGCATGTATGTGTGTATTATGTGCATACTATGTACAAATGTACACAGCACATGTTTAGCAAAATTATTTGACACTTGCATGCTACTTTCTACTCACTGATGTTCACTGATGTTTTAAGGACAGTGAACATCAGTGAGTAGAAAGTAGCATGCAAGTGTCAAAAACCTTATTTAATTTGGAAACACAAAAACAGACTAATCCCTGAGAATGAATTGTTTGGAAGATAATATGGCAGAGTTATAAGGAATGAAAACAGTGGCTCATGCCCGTAATCCCAGCATTTTGCGAGGCTGTGGTGGGCAGATTGCTTGAGCTCAGGAGTTCGAGATCAGCCTGGGCAACATGACAAAACGCTGTCTCTACCAAAAATACAAAAAAAATTAGTCGGGTGTGGTGATGTATGCTTGTAGTCCCAGCTAATTAGCTACTTAGGAGAGACTGAGGTGGAAGGATCACTTGAGCCTGAGCCCAGGAGGCAGAAGTTATAGTGAACTGAGATCATGCCACTGCACTTCAGCCTGGGTGACAGATCCAGACCCTGTCTCAATTATCAAAAAAACAAAAAAAAAAAGAGAAAGGAATGACAACAATAGTTTGAATGGTTAAAAACTATTAACAGTTACCATTTATTGAACATCTATTATACATAGGCACAGATATCATTTTTCAAACATCACCTCATTTAACCCTTTAAAAATCCCGTAAAGTAGTTACTAAAATCACTTAAACAGATTAAAAAAACTTAATTTGCCTGAGGTTGCATAGCTAGAAAGTGTTAAGGCTAAGGTTTTAAATCAGGATGCCGATCTCACTCCAAAACCTATTCTCATATTCACTAGAACACCTTGCATTAATGCGAAAACATAGGACAAGGCCATGCCTCCCATTCTCCAGCTTGTATCCTGTCCCCTTAATTTCCTCTTGCATATATCCTGTTTGCACACAGGGAAGGGTCTGGACATAGCTATAGTATAATACACTGTTAAAAGATCAAACTCTAAAATCAAGACATAATTAGAACTGAGTGAAGAACAGGTAGTTTGAATGATGTCCACCTTAAATCAGAATCTATGTTTTAACTGTGGGGTATGCAACTTATAAAACATTTCTCATTTAATACAATTAAAAGTATAGGTAGGAGAAAAAGCAGTATTTCGAAGGTCTTTAAATTCTTTTGCTGAATTTTTATAAAAAGTCTTTTGCTTTCCCAATCAATGTAATTTCTATGCTACTACTATAAAAGTATAATAAATATAACATGTTATCATCGATATTTTAATTTCCAGGTCCAAAAGAATTCTTTCCATTATAACGGTGAGAGTAAATGCTAAAACTGGAATATTTACCATATTTCAGACTATGCTATGGGCTTTATATACATTATTATTTCATTTAATCCATATTAAAAATAGGAAATATTAATTATCTGCATTTTACAGATGAGAAGTTCACTGGGGCTCACAGAAGTTAAATAACCTGCTCAAGCTCATGCAGCTAACCAAATCTATATCTTCAGTGGTAGTGTCAGTATCCAATCCAGGTGTGATCCAGAGCTCAGCACTTAACCAGTAAATAGCAGAAATGAAAAAATTCTCTTTCATCCTGACCCACCCATCCTACAGTCAACACAACACTGAGTTCTCCATTATTTTAATGCATCCTTCCCAATGCTTTAGTCATCCTATTCACATAAGGCTCACAATTTACGACTAATGAAATTTGATAAGAATACATCACTTATAAATGCAGCCGAGGACACACATGCCATCTCAACATATGACCTATCACAAATGGCCACGAAAAATCTTAATAAACAAAAATTACTGAAATTCTTCATCACCAACATATATTGAGAAAAGAGTCTATTTATAATGAGTCAAAATACTCACTATAACATGAAATTTTAAAAAATGATGAAATCTAAAAAACTACTACATGGATTTTTAAAATTTAAATAAAATTGCTTTATTCAAAATCACAAAGAAATGATGGTAAGGTGTTTTGATCAGGAAATGAAACGGTTTTATTATATTGAAATATGTTATAAAAATATAAAGTATTAATGTATATATATGTTTGCTGTTCTGTTAGATTTGTCTAAATTACAAGTAGCTTTGTTGCTTACTATCATGGAACTGCTGCCAATTCCAGATCCTTTCTCAGCATGTGAAAGGACTAAAGAAAATGTAATTTTGATAGACTCTGAATCCATTTATTATAACATTTAAAAATAGGATACCTATATTCTTTTCTAGTTGATTCTATTATTTAGATGCTATATAATCATACTTCCCATTTATTTCGACGCTTCACAGTTTTCTAAGAATTTTCATGACTGAATATAAATCTGAACCACCAATTTACTGGTAAGAACAAAAGGATTTGCTCAGGTCTTCTGAATAAGTGCTTTCTTCTCAACAGAGTACTAAAATATCTCTAAACTGAAGATTTTTTATCTCTCACTAAGGAAAAAAGTGATTTAAAGATTTTCTGAGATGATGAAAGAAAATGAGGCAACAGGCTATTTTGAAGTTATTGTTTTGTTAGGGGAAAAAACGAACACAATTCCCTCTAGCGTTACTATGATTTCCTCACAGTCTGAAAATTCAACTGGGTTTAAATCTGCCAGAGAAACTAGTTTCAAAATTATTTTTAAAGGTGAGAAAGGCATAAAATAGAAATAACAGGAGTACATATGATGTGCTAAATTTGAGTTTAAAATAAAGAAATACAGAGCTAGAGAGACTTGTTTAAAGTAGTTCATAGAAAACAGGTTAGGGATGCTGTCCAACCAAAAGTTTACGTCCTGTAAGTATGACATGGCTGCTGCAAATACTACCACAACATGTTCGTACTGACAGAAAAATGTTCAAACTAAAACATTTACATCCTACTACTTTTGAGTTAGTGAAACCACATCTGCAGTGTTAATTTGCATTCGCATCACTGTCAAATGGTCTCGGAGCTCCTGTGTAACAACAGGGTAGGAACCATGCTCTCAAGTTCAGGATGAACAAGATCAGAAGAACCTTGGCAGATTTAGCTCAAAAGGCAAGACACACATGATTAAATATATTGTATTTTGAACATGTGAAAAATCTTTTTAGTTTAAAGCTGATAAATTATGGATTAATTAACTAGAGTTTTAGAGATGGCTACGTTTATAGTAAGAATAAAACAGGAGAAATACTAAGGATTTTTTTCTTTTCCCTCACTATTTTAAGCAATTTAAATTTTGACATTTTAAAATAAAGATTATGAATGTAATGCTTTTGAAGTACATATGAAAACTTTAACTTTTCCCTACAGAGATTTTATTTTTCACGAGAAATTCTGGAATATCTATATTTCTAAAAGGCAAACTTTCTTTTACAATTCACATAAATTTGCAACAGTCTGTAGCAAAGTAAACTTTGTTATGAAGAATATGTTCTGTTTAGAGAAAAATGCAAGCATGATAGGTTATTCATCAGGGTAGTCTAATATTTTCCCCTGTCCTAATAAATCCTTTACTAAAGCAAGGAAACAACTTTAAATGTGTACATACTAAGTACCCACAATGCCTGGCCAGTACACCAAGTAAAAATTGCTTATGCAACTCTTATCCTGGATGAAGAACAAAAATTAAGATAACAAATTGTAACCCCTAAAAGTGCACTTAAATAAACTCTAAAGAGACTATCTATACAGGTTTTAGAAGTTGTACTTTGGATAAGATCCAACAAGCACTTAAAAAAACCAACTATTTTTCTCATCTATTAAGTATTTCATTTAAAAAATCCTCAGTCTAATGGAGGATAGTTTATTACCTGATCAAACTATTTACAAGTAACAGGACTTTGTGAATGTGGTTTTGAGAGAGAAATTTTTTAAGTGATGCAATAAAGCACTTGATTTTTAAAAATCCAAATTATGATAAAGTAGACTCAACTGGGTAAGTCTTGTAGAGTGAAGAACTCCCCATATCCAATGCTGGAGAACAAGAAGCAGCAGCTCCAACTACACTTTTAGGAGATGAAATTTGCTGATATAGTTCTTTCTATGCAACAGAGAAAAGAGCTTCTTTGTGGGAACTGCATCACGTTTCCCTACATCATCCCATAGCACCCTAGAAGGGCACAGAAAAGATTGTAGCTTACTATTAAAGGCCAGTAATCATCTTGTTTTTTTTTCCATACCTTGATTTTAAATTATTAACCAATGATCAGCAAATATGCTTTGATCATTAACTTAGAAAAATATCAGAAGTAAATAAAATCAGCAACTAAGGCAATTAATTTTAATGAGATCCTACTGCTAATCTTAACTATCAGAAATACTCTGAACAGATGTAACTCATTTTGAAAGTTGTGTAACATTGCAAAGTATGGCTATACCATAATTCATTTCAATTATTCCCTAATTTTAGGAACTCCATTTGTTTCCATGGTTTTGCCACTATAACCATCATACTATTAACAGTTTTATATTATTTTTTTAAAAAGGGAAGTATTCTAAACAGTTCTGAGTCTCCAAATTACTTAAAAATATACAAACTTTTAAAGGAAATTCAACACAATTTCCCCCACCCCAATCCACCAACAACATGCAAAATGTGGGTGATCACAATTACAAAAACCATTTTAATATGTACTGGCCACTAGACGGTATTTTTTTTTTTTTTGCATGAATTCTGGCAAGTATTTTATTGAAAGTAGCAAACTGGGGAAACATGTAGACTTATATGGTCTATTTAATCAAAGTATCTGTCCTTCCTCTTACTAATGTATTTCTACCCCAAAAGGAGATTTAAAAAGCTGGCCTTATCAAAGCATTTAAAACATTTCATCACAGTAAGGGATATCATTTCATTTTATTTATGATTAAAAAGAAAATGGGATAGGAAAGCAATTTTTATGCTGATGCAATTAAGCAGCTGACATTTTTTTAGGACATCAAATTTGTATATAGGAATAGCTAAAACCACTTTTTCATTTTCTGTGATTATATAAACAATTATCTGTTATCAGGCAAAAAAAGACACTGGTCATAGAGCATCATACCATCCCCCCCTTTAATTTATAATGATATGATAGAATAAAATGCCCTACTTGGGGGTGGGGGAAATGAATGAAAAACAGTTCATAGTCCACTTATGTGCCATTACAGAAAATCTGGGGATTCTCTCCTACCACTAGTTGCCATATCACTTTCTAGGCATGATACAGAAATAAGTAAGTTCAGATATTTTATACAATTGAGATAAAATATGAATAAATATATTCAACAAAGATTACCTTTGGTTTAGAATGGAAGGTTGTTCTATGTTCCATCCACCTCCATTTCCAGTAAGCATGGTAACTTGTTTGGTCAATTTATTTGAAATGTCTTCACATTTGTTCATAAGCCTTATAACTACATCTCTTTCTTGGATCAGTGTTTTACAATGCCATATCAAATCTTCTGATAAGCCATTAGTTTTGGACATCTTTGTGAACTATGGCATAAAAAGAAAAATAATTGAATAGTTCAGATCTAGGAAAGAGAAAGGCAATCCTGATTTCTGTATGAGGAAAACAAGCCTGATAATTTAAACCTTTACTTAATGAGCTTATAGTTAACTACTAAGAGAATCTGATTCTTCATGTTTATATTTGCATTGCTACATGTTTCACTTTTATATTCTACTGTCACATATCAAACTCATTATGTTAAAATAAAATACATCTTACCTCAAAAAATGCATAATCCCAAACTCGTTACTTTGACCCTGGCAGCTAATCTCTTATAGGAGAAACGCTAGCAAGTAATTGTTACTATCTCCTGTGAAGGTTTTAAAAACATTTCAAAACCTTAAATTCACTTTTCCCTAATACCAAAGGTAATAGTATCAAATTTAGTCACTGCAAATCTGATCTCTCACCTCTATGTGTCATTTCCTATGACTATTACATATTAAGATTAATCTTCTTAAAAGATATTTTTCCACATCTATCATCAGTGTAGCCCTTCAAGTTTTCAAAACTCCAATTATTTGTCACTTGATATTTTACTTCTAACCAGAGACTATTACATGCAGAGATATTACATGAATCAAAAGTTATCTATGACCAGTTCAATAATTAGATAAGGTTTTTAAAAACTAGTTTCAACGTAACACTACAAACAGTTCTCTGTGAACTCACAGAACTTCTTTCAAAACACAGTTGTATTTATTTTTCAAAAGGAGGCACTGAATATTTCATATGTAAAAGCTATATCAGAATTAGAATTTTTCAGATAGATAGCTGAAAATGTATATCCTAAAAAACATGACAAAAAATATTTTTCGTGGAAAGGATGAGAAAGCCCAAAAGCGATCTGAAATATCTGGGGCAAAAATGAAAATTCCATAAGCCAGAACTAAATACAGGAAACTAAAATAAAACCATCTATTAGGAAAATACCACACATGATTTTTATTCATGTCATCCTATTTAGCGTATTTTTCCAAGTTATAACAAGAATCACATTAACAACTGTAAGTAATCACAGTATTTCTAAGTTGAGTGAAAAGCTCAAGCAATAGTAATTAAGTGCTTTAGGGATATACTAAGATAATTTAATAAAACAGTTTATAAGAATATACATTTTCCATATTTATCCCAGAATAACTTGGAAATATACAAAACATCCAATCTATTCTTAGCACTTCAAAAATGGCACTGTAAAATACTAGGTTTATTTGCACACTACTCTACATTTTCCACAGGGACAACATTCATAATCACAATGTGATCTCCCACTCCCCCTACTTTGTGCTTTTCAGGGGAAAGATCTATACATAAGCAGCAGTATAGATAAGAATCAGTGTCTTAAGGAGGTTCTACCAGAACTTTTAGCTAAAATACTTTTATTTTTCAATGCAACCAAAAATTAGAGGCCAAAAAACCAATCTCATGCTGATTGTAGTATGTGTGTGTAATATATGTATATGTGAGAGAACCCCAACAAATTAATCAGAAAATAAGGAATGAACATACATTATGTGCCATTTAGGTGCTAGGAACTATTAGATACCTTTTATTCAGTAACTCATTAAATCCTCATAACTACCACCAATTGTAGTCTACCAAATCTAGATGAAAAAACTAAGATTCAATTTCTAACATCATAAAGCTGGGTAAGAGAAAAAGTCCATGCTCTTTTCACTGTAACTAGTACCTCCCTAAATAAAATAATTTAAGACCTTAAAAGTTCAAAATAAACTTTTTTTTCTGTAACCAACTACCATTTATTAAGTTCTTCTTCTTTTTTTTTTTTTTAACAGAAATTACTCTAACTGTTGAATTATCTGGGAGATAGACACAGCCCCTGTCCTTGTGGTCTATGATCGTTGGGAAACACAAGTTAACAATTTCAAGCATAACCACTGGTATAAACAAGGGAAATAACAAAAGTTCATGGGCACTCATCACAAAAAGACTAATAAAATCTAAGACCTAGGAATTCCTTATGGAGTAAGAAGCCAGAAATAATAAAAGAACTGTTTTAATGGAAAGATAAATTCACATGTCAGAACCTAGAGAAGCAACAGACAAGTCTGAACAGGAAGGCAGTAAGGGTATGAATCACGTTGATGAGTTCTAAACTGAACTTACGGGCATCAAAAGGCTACTGAAGGGTTTTAGAGAGTTCCTGTTTAGAAAGAACTCTATGAGAGTAATGTGAAGGAGGTTTGAGAGCAAAAAACTATTAAGGTGGCTTTGAGTTGAGAGACAATAGTGGCCTGTGTTGGACACAGAGAAACTGATAGATTTATGATCTTTAGGAGGTAGAATCCATTAAGTGTAGGGAGATGAGTGAAAAGAGTTAAGCCTAACTCCCAGACTTCTGGCTTCAACGCTAACAGATTAGTAGTACCATCTATTGAGATTAAAATTTACCAAGTTGGCAAGGGAAGTCTCTTTCTGGATATATTAAAGTTGGAATAGCTACCAAATTTTGGAGAGAGAGCCAGTGGTTAAATAAAGATCTGTATCTTAGGGAGGAGATATAAGCTGGAGAAAAAGATGCCACACAGGTGACCATCAAAGTCAAAGATGCTGATGAGATTACCTAAGGAAAAGCACATGAAATTCAAGATTAGAAGACTGAGAGCAAAACCCTGAAGAACATCAACATTTAAAAGCGTTTTAAAATAGACAAAGCAAGAAGAAATGTAGGATGTGGTATCAGAGAAGCCAAGGAAGAAATAATTTCAAAAAGGAAAGTGTAAGTTTTAACTGACAAAAAACAATAAACTGGCCAGGTGCGGTGGCTCATCTAATCCCAGCATGTTGGGAGGCCAAGGCAGGAGTATGGTTTGAGCCCAGGATTTCAAGACCACCCTGGCAACATGGCAGAACTCTGTCTCTACCAAAAATACAAAAATTAGCCAGGTGTGGTGGCATGTGCCTGTGGTCCCAGCTACGCAGGAGGCTGAGGTGGGACGATGGCTTGAGCCTGGGAGTCAGAGGCTGCCATGAGCCAAGACGCCACTGCACTCCAGCCTGGGTGATAGAGACCCTGTCTCAAAAACAAACAAACAAACAAACAAACAGACTTACTTAATCTTTCACTGATTATAATGAATTTGTATAAAATACACCACATGGTAAATAATTTCTATAGTATTTCTCATGGACAGTTCTGAGTAATTAAATATGTAGCTAATTCACAGTGGTTATAAATGTGTAATTTTATTCACAATAGTTATGCTTTGAAGATATGTGCCAGAAGCACACGGAGAGGTAAATACTCATCTAATTACATATTCATAATTCAGTAGATATCTAAAGATGTTACTGTATTGCTGAAGGTTAGTGCCTAAGCATAGTATGAGTTTAGTGGTAAGTAACAGCCAATATTTTCTGAGAAACAGATTAAAAGTAAAATGTGAAGATTCCTAACATGTAAGTCACACAACCATTATTACGAAAACCAATGTTAGATTACACTAAGTGAATATATTCAAAATGAAGCTGAAGCACACTGAATCTTTATAAAGCAATTATAGGTCTCATTTCTTTTTCACTTAAAAAAGAACATACTACTATTCTTCAAATATTTTCAAAAGCTTGTTATACAAGAGGTAACTCTGAAAAAATTAGTATATTGTGATCTAATCTTATGATTTTTGTAATATAAAAATTATTTTGTTATAAAATAATCATTATATTATTTTCTGCCACTGAACAGCTTTCTGAAATATAAAATTTCCTTCATAGCTGAAACTTCCTAATATAAAAAAATTACAGCAGACATAAATCACAAATTCACTTAAGTGGTCCCATTTATACATTTAAGTTTGATGTCTTTTTATTTATGAAAAAAATTTTCTTCCTTTTACTTATTTTTTAAGAGCATAAATTAATTATGGTCATTTGGAAGCCACAAGAAAGGGTTAAAAGGTGGGGGTGACCAATCACTATTTTGAGAGCTGGAAAATTAAAGGAAAGAATAAACACTTATTCTGAATTCTGTATACAAACAGCAACATTTAGAGTGGCAGATATAAGGAAGTTCTTTTATAGATAATTCCTAAAGAAGTAGCAATAACAGTATTAAAATATTATTTTTGCAGGCCGGCATGATGGCTCACACCTGTAATCCCAGCACTTTGGGGGCCAAGGTGGGTGGATCATCTGAGGCTCCAGGAGTTCAAGACCAACACAGTGAAACCCTGCCTCTACTAAAAATACAAAAATTAAGTGGGTGTGGTGGTGCACGACTGTAATCCCAGCTATTCGGGAAGCTGAGGCACAAGAATTTCTTGAACCCGGGAGGCACAGGTTGCAGTGAGCCAAGATCACACCACTGCACTCCAGCCTGAGTGACGGAGTGAGAGACTGTCTCAAAATAAAATAAAAAAATAATAAAAACTATTAATTTTGCAATGGCTAATGAATTATGGATTCAGACATGTAGCATTAACAGCTGGTAATGTTACAAAAAGTAACAATCAGATATTACTGTCTTCTGATGAAAGAACACATCACTAACTATGTAGTAATATTGGTGGGTCCATTTAACTTTCTAATTATCATTTTACAGAAAGTACTAGTCCAGTGGAACATGTTAAACTACACTGGGGAGGTATAATCAGAAAAGTTTAGACAGGGGAGTTATAGAACAAATGACCCACTTTCTTTACCAAAAACTGGAAAAAGAGAAGGGGAGAGAGTGGGGGATGAGGAACCTATAGATTAAAAGACTTAAAAGACCTATCAAGCAATCTCAGGGAGTTGACCTTACTTGGATCCTAATTCAAACTAACAAACTATAAAACAAATGAACCAATACTATGGCATTTATGAGACAACTGGAAATTTGAATTCTGAATATTTTGATATTAAGAAACTATTGATGATTTTTATTAGATATGATAATGTTATGGTTTCTTCAGGAGATACATATTCAAAATTTTAAGGATAAAATGACATCTGAGATGTGCTTCAACATAATATGATGGAAGGA